GTGAACTATGCCTTTTACAAAAACTTTAATGGTAGATCAATGATACTAAAATAACACTGCTCTCCACTGACCTTTGTGTGTGTGTTTTATATGCTTAAAGAAGTCAAAAGTCCTCCTAATGTCTCACGTGAGGGTGTACAGAAAGAGACAGAATTCCATGAGGCCTGAGATTAGTGCTTTACTGTAGACGTGTTTTGATGGATTAACAAAGTCAGTCAACCAAGATTAAGACCAAGAACTGAGCCACCAAGAACTTTCTAACCTCCTGCATGAGGTCAGTGTTTAAAAAGAAACAGTTTGACTTCGCTGCACATGCACACAATGTCAGACTAAAATGATTTTAAGCCTGCTGTTGCTAGTGAAAGTTCATTGTGTTCCTCTAGTATCCACTCAATGTAACTAAGTGTGTAATGTGAAACACACACTTACCCACTGGGAATTTCTCCCACCACGTCGACACCATTAACAGCTCTCAGATCAGCATAATGAGAAACAAGTGTCCCTGTAATAATCTGTAAATATACACACAAAGCTGTTGCATCTGTCTCTTTGTGTACTTACTAGGTTGGAGTTTTCTGGTTTGACATCTGAAGAAACATGGTACACGTGTAGCTACTCACCACCATGAGCTCTATGGGAACAGGGAGGAGTAATCTGTGACTGTAGCAGGAGTTGATCTCTTTCACAATGATCAGAGCTGTGAGAGCCACCAGACTGATCAGAAGAGTGGCAATGTGAGTCTGTGGTAATAACCTGCCCAGTTCCACCAGAGTCTAAAGACAGAGAGTAGTTCATTAATAAAATAAATGTGCATTTTTAAAATGTGACTGAACCTGATTTTTGTAGATTGATTGTACTTGAGGTCTATATTTTATCTGTGTGCATATTAGTGCAGTGGTTTGAGTGACAGTGGAGGCAAGAGTAATTTTGTGAATGTGACGAATCCAGTCCGTGGCCTTCCGTCCGATTGCCACCAGAGGTTGCCCTTCCATTATATTGACTTTCACACCACACAGACTGTTAC